TCAAACAATATGCATGTGTAGATTGCGTCCACTGAACTCACACCTCGACGACTGATTGGTATGTTTCGCTGTTAGCCACACAACATGTTTGGATCTTTGAATGTGCGAGAGCTGTAAGGTAGAGGTAAGAGTTATCAATTCAACATGCCACCACTATATGACAATAACAGTGCATCAAGAAACGAGTCAGAATCAACAACAGACCTAGAACGCCCTTCAGCTAATGGAAATGCCGATCAACCCGAGTCGGTCGTATGTGTGACCAGTGTCGATGGAAACAATCCTGGTGTTGAGTCTCCGTCTTTGACAACAGATCAAGAGAGTGGAAGCGGAGGTGATGGGCACCGAAACACCCCCAGTGTTGGCTCCACTTGAATTTCCAGTCAAGGTTCTGAGTTGGTGAAGTTGGAGGAATTCGTGGAATTGATAACAGCGAATCGCGGACAAGGGGCGCGCCTAAGTGCTTTCAAGAAAACAAAGCAGTTAGGAATGTTAGTGGTCCTTACGTTGTCTCAACTCCAACTGATGATGTTGAGGACAACGCGCTTCGTGACAGAATTGTCCGTGTTGATGGTGTACTCCTCTACCGTATCTTGATTATAGATGAAATCACTCAGAATGATCTCACGAAGTTAATTAAATTACTTATCAGTTCTAAGCACTGAAAACATAAATGACCATTAATCAATAAAATATTCAAATATCTCTCCGAGATGCTGGGCAATCATAAACAGGTGACAACAGATATAGCTTGCAATAAAAGTAACTAATTAATCTGTGTGTGGCTGAATACTCTCTGACTATCCTCTCTATTTCTTCCGCTATTCACTGCATCATTGGGTGGGTAGAAAACTTCAGTTCAAACTGAAGATTTGTGATACATCATACCCAAATGTTTCGAAACAGAGCAATGATACTCTTTCATTTTGCGTTTACTTAAGGTAAAAATTTGATTAGATTATAATACATAAATTAAATAAGTGTTGCGTGAGTCAAATTGGTATATATATATATATATGTAAATATATATATATATGTAAATATATGCATTTCACGGCAATAGATTTACGGAACTGAAAAACACCAGTTTTACGGGTGCATCAGCAGCAAAATTGAGGAAACCAAATGATGAAGAAGTAATTATAGATAATAATTACGGCTACTGTGTTTTGGAGTTTTTCATGGTCCTTTCAGCAATTTCTTCGTTCGTTTCGTGAACTACATACAACAACGAGTTCAGATTTTCAAGAACAGCTCAACGCGGACTCGGGTTCAAAATTGCATTACAATGCAGTTGCAATAGTCTACGCTAAATTCCACCATGTCCATTCATTGACAAATCCTTCGAAGTTTGTCATCAGAAGAGTTATTGACTCGATGTTTGGGTTCAGAAAATCAAAATAATAATGAGTCTTTAAACTCACTGATATGGACCAACGCTCCAAAGCATATCCATTCCGGGTCTCGGATCATTGAAATTGAACATTTATTGCTGTGTACTTTTAATGAAGACTTTATACCGATATTGAAGATGATGACGATGTATGCAGCAGGAATGGCAGACTAAATAAATGTAAGCTAAAAATATAATTTATGACTTAGACTGCAAAATATTTTACTTGAAACTTTAAGCACATTTTTCTCAGAACTATTTTTTTTGAATCTGATACCCGCGATTTCTCAGGTTCTGCCAAACCGATTTACTTGAAATTTTAAGAGAGTCTTCTTTAGAGACTTGTCTATGTCCGGAACTACGTCCATCTCCAAATTTTTATTTTTACTATTTTTAAAAAATCGATGAATGTCCAAAAAAGCGGTACAAAAATGGTTTTCATCTTTAGACAGTCGCCATTTTGTAAAAAATATTTTCATAACTTTCCTGTAGTTCCGGACATAGCAACATTATTGTAGATTGATAGTCGTTTTTAATTTTTAATTTCAGATTGCTTGGAGAGTTAAAATCGTGGGTATGGCCACGCACCACATTTTTGAGACGCCCCATTCCATCAGCTGATACTTAACGGAATTTTATATTTTTTTACATTTTTTTGCATGCTTCTAATGTGAGTAAATAATGTACAAAAAATTGATAATAAAAATAATGCATGATTTTTTTACAGCACTTCAAAAATGACCAAAACTTCTTGTCTCTAGACCAGAATTCCCCCTTAGTAAAGTAAAGCGCTTTCTCTACTATCTGGACAATTAAGTCAACTTTATTGACTCTAGACATTTCTAATTTATTCATATTACTTTTAAGAGTAAAATGCACCTAATGAATTGATTTGAAGCAGATTTACTAACTTCAATATGTTCACTTGAACGTGGCTTGTGCATTAATTTTGTTTTCCAGAGCTGACAAATGCGTTCTAACCACCCCCCTTCCCACCCAAACCTTTTTATTTTATTTTATATTTTATATAAAATTAATATTCGAAATTATGTTTGCTATGTTTCTTATTGCCTGTCTTCTTCAACCTTAACATGAATCACGCAGCTATCAACTCTCAATGTGTTTTCACCATGGTGATTAGGGACAATCACGTTTGAGGCCAAATCAGATTGTTCTTGCTCTGTTGTTGTTTATTTATTACGATTTCTTTCCGCAAATTGGCCTTCCCCGAACACAGAACCCTACCTCATTAATCTAATATCAGTCGTGCTGTTTTTACTTATTTTGATTGCAGGGTAAAGTTTATACGCAGTCAGATGGAATTGTCGAGTACAAATCAGTCTCAGACCAGTACACTTCGTTGACCTTTATGGCGTTCGGGCCTAACAGATGTTTAATCACAGTATAATTGCACTCCTTTAATAGGTCAATAAAACTGGGTCAAACTACTTTTGATGTCATATCAGGTCATTTATATTCAATGTCTTGTTGTTACAATTCGTTGCGAAAGTTTGATATGTGCGTGTCTAAAATTTCGAGGCTTACTAAAAACGGTTTTCCTACTTGGCCTAAAATTTTCGATTTCAAAATTTCTCTTTAAGATATTGAAGTTTCAAAAAATATCTAACTTAAATTTCAATATGATATCTAGAAAGTGCAATATCTATTGCTAAATGTGGAGGTAAGTTTATTTATTTATTTCAAATGGCAGGCGTTTTGGTAACTATCATTAGCCATTTAGCTGACTTCGGGCTTCAGAGAGGGAAGGTTTATCAAAGTAGCAGAAAGTCGAGGTGCGGGGAACAGAAGAGCGATTCACAGATGCAAAAGAGATAGACAGATACAAAGGTAGAGAAAAAGTAAAGGTAAGTACTGTGGAAGGGATCGAATATGGCATACAGTGGGGTGATGGTAGTTTGAAGTCAGAAGCCAACTGCCGGTTAATAGACTTTTTGCCGTATGAGTATACGTTGCCCATGGTGCACCACGTGGAGGTAAGTCTATCGCACACCCCATGTGGAGGTAAGTTAATTGTATAAAGTCCATCCATCATATACACGGCACTTAAAGTGCTATCACCTCAATTTCGGTACTAATGAAAGCATATACATTTGTCAAAGGTAGAATTTCAAGCAGGAAATAGGTTGGTTGGATTTAAATGTGCTTGCAAGTGGATCTTTGAATGTGCGAGAGCTGTGAGGAAGAGGAAATTGTTATCGCTTCAATATAAACGAAGGAATAATCTGTTGAAAGCAAAATAGAATCTTGAATAAATTTCTTCGTCTCATCTTAATTGGTCATTTAATTCAATCGGCTCACTGGAATCACGAAGCATACCTTGATGGCCCGATGGTGAAAAGTGATTTATTACTTCGAAAATGTATGGTTCAAATTTTAAATGCCAAGTCTTAATATGCTCTCATCTGGTGCTGTGAGTGGTTACTAAACGATTGTAAATCATGTTATCAAATCAGAATTGTCTGAGGACATGGTTAGGGACACGTTTATTCGTCGTACTCTGCGAGTAGACAATGGAAAGTGACACAGCCTGTGAAGGCTATAAGCACCAGTAGGATGTTTGCACCTCAATTGCAATACTGGCAATGCTCAACAGACTAGTTAGGGTGCAGCCTCTTCTTATGCATTCAGCATACTCGAACTGTGTATGGCAAGCCAAAAACAGTCACTCCCCCTGAAAGTAATCAAGCATCTGGAAGCAGAAGCAGTTGAAGCCATTCAATCTGAGTTGGGTGGGGAGGGAGGGAGGGGGGTGAGGAATCAGCTTGCGTCAGCAAATGCAATTGTCCACTAAGTCGGATTCGTTTCACCTACTCAAGAGCCAGAATCATTGGAGATGGGTGGAGTTAAATTGAACCTACAAAATGAAAATACTCATTTAATATTTTTTAGTTATTCTCCCGTTATCCTTGCAGGTTATTGGTTCCTATTGATATGGGCTAATGGGGCTTCTTCGCTACTCTAAGACACCTTCGAATTTCCCACTTTCAATACTAACTATTGGCGTCAGGTGAATGTGCCATGGAATAATAAAATTAAAAATTCATTCATAATTCGAATGCGAGTTTCCACAAGGTCTTGAGAATATGGATGTTTCACAGAGATTGGGAGAGAGAGGGGGAGAGAGGAGTAAAAGTATTCATGTCGGAGACTTAAAAGAGGAAGCGTCCATGTCTTTTCAAAATCTTGAGGTTCACATGTCAAGCACTCTCATTCTGGTGGTTGCAACCGAATGTATTTACATTTTGGAAAGGATAAGCGGTGTTGTCAGTTATGTATACTTGACTCAAATGACCTATCTCCCTACGTCTGTAATCTGGGGTTCGTAACTACTGCAGTTGTACTTTCAATTGAGACGAAACCAGCAGATGGATACTACAAAGGAGATATTGAAAAACGAATAAAAATTCAAGAAAAAATATTGATTAATAGCAGTAATATGAAGAAGATAAATGAGGGGTAGTTTCGAGCAATGATCGACAATTTGAGAAGCAGAAGAAAAAACTGGATGTCAGAATCCCAACTAAAAGTTTTCCATTTGCAATACCATAAATTACATAATCTTAAATGACAATCTTTTGAATTAACATCTTAAAGCCCCATGTCCTTGATGTTCATTGAGAAGTGCAGATATATTCCTTTCCAGTAGAATCTGACAGAAAGTGGGTACCCGTGTTGATCACGCATTTTTGTTGATTTGTTTTCCCAATAAGCGTTTGCACATATAAATCATCCTGCCAATGAGGAATTAAAAACAGTCGTTTCGTATTTTTGGCCACTAATCTAGAGTTCATGGTATTATTACATTAATAAAAGTAATGACGCAGGCCACAGAAACTCTGGCCTTTCAATGTCACAAAATCACTAATTGAAATGCTTAATCATTTGTTTAATTAAGAGCGTGTTCTGGTTAATACCATTATCCCAAATTGATCTGTTCAGACAACTTCATATTGACCTCGATGATCATTGTTTCAATTGCCTCATTGTATCCATGACATCGATGGTACTTTTATGACGTGTACTTAATTCTTGCTTACCATTAAACATAAGACCTGAAAGAGTTCATTTTAGATAAGAGATTACCGAAAATTACTTCACTATTCTACGAGGTAATGCATGCTTTTGACTAGAATTTCAAATTTGTCACGTGGCAACACGAAATAAATTGAAAATATATTACTGTATGACGTTTTATTTATTGGTGACTTCAAAATGAGAAAGAGCTTCATTTCTAAACTGAAAACTAACAAA